TTCTGTCTTTCCTTCCTTCTGCTTCTGATCTCTACATCCACAAGCATATATATTGGGGTAGGAATGGGGGTAGCGCACGCGCACAAAAATGTCATGGAAACATATATTTAACATTTTTGTCTTAAATAATTAGTATAATATTTATTAATTTATGGTTAAACCCCCAATTTATGGTTAAACCCCCAATTTTGTTTCTAAATTATTGTACGGATTATTGATTTGGTCACTACTGTTTACTGATTTAACTTCAAGTTGGTTATTCTGTACAAAAAATAGTTGACGTATTCATTATTTAATGACAAAAAACAATTACTTAACAGCCATATATCACGTTAATAATGAGGCACGTCAGCTATTTTTTCTATGGAATGAACAATTTGGGACAAATTGATAAATAGTATAGACTAAATTGGAGTCCATATAATAATTCAGAGATCAAATTTAGAATTTAATCTTAATTTATTAATTATTAACTAACCATTAAAATTATTATCTAACAATTATAATTATTAATTATTTTTAGTAATTAAATCAAATAAATTTAGTATTTTTAAAAATAATATTAAAAAAATTTATATTATCATAATACTGTATGAAATCATAATTATGATCCAATATGAGATTGAAGATGCATACTACCTTTAATCGATTTTACTTATCACAATATATATATACATATATATAAGTAATGTTTTTTTTTATAAGTATATAAATGATAATTTATTTATTTTGTATAAAATAAAATTATTTAATAAAAATTATATATTAAAATAAAAATTTTAAATATTTTTTGTATTATAAAAATTATTCAAAAATATGTGTTGTAACCATTAAAATCAAAGAGAGGTGGTACCATGTGGATAATATTTCACGAACCACATTTGCATATAATTGATAAAAGGATAAAGATTTAAAAAGTTTCAAATTTTTTAATTTAAGGATGAAAAAGGTCACCGTTAATCTTCTTTTTATTTATTTATTCTATTTTATTTTATTTTATTTTATTTTTTGGAGATGTTGGATTTTTCCTTCCATAATATGACAAATTGTCATGCTTTTCTAGCCGTCCACCTACAACATGAATATTTCTACATTGGCTTGCCGATAACAAGTTCTTCTTCTTCATATATACTCCACAACCTTCACACTTTTTCACTTAATTTGTTCTTCGCTTAGTCTCGGCTTCCTCAGTTTACCGTATGTTTATCTATTCTGTTTTTTTTTAAGGTTCCTCTGTTGTTGTTGATGCATAAGTAGATAGGAATTCAATTATATATAGCTTGTCGTCTACCTTGTTTATTTTCTAATCTGTATCTGTTATGTTATTGTCATGTGTTTGCTGTTCAGATCCGGTGACAATCTTGAGCTTCTTTGCTCTGCCTCCAGCCCTACTTAATTATTTTCAACCTTCTTACGTCATTTCGCTAGCTGATCTGCAGGTATATACTTACTTTTTTTGACTATTCTGTTCTTCTCTCTTGGATGTATAGATGCTTTAATTTCTGGTTCAATCTCTAACTAAACATGTGCATA